GGTTTAAAATACGATCCGAAATTCAACCCTCTACATCCGGGACTAGCAGGATGAGCCATAGATTGGCGATAGAGTTCTCTTCGGGAACCGCGATCAACATGGAGCAAGCGATCAGTACAAGTAAAGACCTGGATGAATAATAAATATATTATATATATATATATATAAATATATAATAACGAAATATAATAATTAATCTATTATATAATTTAACGTGGCTCCTCGTACTGTGCCTTCCAGTCCTCAAAGGACATCCCTTCCGCCTTTTCACAGAAAAATGTATTTTTAAATCTTCTGTGTCCATACTGCTGCCTCCGCGGCTGCCCACACTGTGTGCACGTGTAGTGTGGATGGCTGACACGTGGTGGGATGGGGAGACCCTGCGAAATGGCCAAGGCTTCAGCTGCCTTCCTCCGCCTCCACTCGGTGGTCCGGCTCAAAGTCTTTAACCCGGGCAGGTTGCCGGGGGACTCTGCCTGCGAGGGAGCCGGTGGTGGCAGCGGGGCAGGTATGGCTGGTGCAGGGGGCAGAGGAGCAGGCTGGGGTTGCGGAGTAGCAGTAGCGGCAGCCTGACCAGACAGGTCTGGAGGGGAGGATAAGGCGAACGGCCTCAGGTCAGAAGGGGGTCCAGCAGGCTCTGGCTCCTTTTGCCTGGACTCAGGTACAGGAGTGGCTGTTGTCAGGCTGGGCTTGGGGAGAGGCACAGTGCTGGGGCCTGGGTCCACGGGCAGCTCTGCGTGAGCCGAGGGGACCTCTGCCACAACAGCGGGTGAGGAGTGCAGAGGGAGGGAGCCGTCAGTGAAGTGCAGAGAGGAAATGGTGGGGTCATGTTCCTCTTCCGGGCCTGCCTCTTCAAAGTCCTCGTCCTCCAAGTTCTCCAGGACATCGGGGGTGCCATCTGGGGCGTCAGGGTCATGGCCGTCGTCCTCCCTCAGCTCCAAGCACTGCTGGGAGTACAGGTACTCCACCCCGATGAGCTCTCCTGCAGCGAAATCGGGGTTACAGAATTATGGCAGATCATACAAAGCCGTAACCCTTACATAACCGGGGAGACGGTCCACGGTTAGAACGTGGTGATGGTCCACATAACCACACCTACCTGTGTACTCCCCCGGCTTTGTGTAGTCCTCAACCAGCTTGAGGCCCAGCAGCTCCTGGCTGAGGTGGTTGAGGCTGTGCTGCAGCTGCCCACTGTAACAGCGCAGCACCTGCTCCGGCTGGTCCGCCGCCGCCGCTCGGTCCTCGTTCCACTGCACCAACCCTTCCAGCAGGTAGGCCTGGAAATTTTCAGCGTTGGCTGTGCCTGTAAAACGAAGGAAACGCGCATGTTATGTCGCTCAGTACGCACACACGTGTACTCATTCAATAGCAAAGGCACATGCAGATAGTGTAAGGAGGACATACTCACCAGGGATGAAGCGGTTGAGGTGGAGGTGGAAGGAGTCCAACGACCTGGAGCCGCGCGCGCAGCGGTAGGTGGGGAGGACGATCCCTCCCTTGGTCAGCTGCCCCGTCTCTGTGTAAAGCCGGAATCCAGGAGGGTCTTGGATGCAACCAAGGTGGCGCCTCTGGGTGTCCCATATGACGTCCATCCTCTGGCTGTCCAGCAGGGGGATGCCCATAGTGTCCTTCACATCCCTGAAGGCCTCTAGCAGTTCAGCGATGAGCCGCTCGGTCTCCTGGGCTCCGCGCGTACGGCGCCGACAGGTGCCGAGCCAGCATCTTCGCAGTCAGCCTGCCGGTGATCTGGTCTTCAGTCAGGCCCACGATGCCCTGCTTCCCCTCCAGTTCCGCCCGAACAGCGTCCCTCAGGCGAGCCACGTCTGCACTGTCCCACTCAAAAAATGCACGACGACAGCTTCGCCATGAAGAGGCCGTAGAGCTGGTGGCTGTCCGTGGTGACGCCCACCGCGAATCTTCGCATCAGGTGCCACACGTCCAGCCTGACGACCAGCTCCTCCCATTCGCAGAACATGGCGGCCGCTCTGGACTTCCCCACCGACGAGCAGCAGTCTCTGTCCACGTACAGGAGCTTGGGCGGAGGGACACCGGCTTCACGGTAGCGCCGCATCAGCCCCGTTGCCATGGGCAACAGCCCGTCACCCTCATGAGCAGTGAGCACGGACATGAGGACTTGCCCGTGCTCATTGCCCACGTTGGTTGACCAGGCCATTGTTCCAGCC